CGTTGAGTTACCACCATCGAATGGTGCCACAACCATTTTGGTGGTGGTGGATATGCTGACTAAAATGGCCCACTTTATTCTGTGTGCAGGTCTTCCATCGGCCAAGATAACGGCTCAATTTTTTATCTCCCATGTTTTCCGGTTGCATGGGTTACCAGACTGCATGGTATCAGATCGGGGGCTACAATTTATGGCACGCTTCTGGCAGACCCTACTCACAAAACTGCAGGTTCAGGCATGTCTGTCGTCTGCTCATCATCCTGAAACTGATGGGGGGGACAGAGAGAGTGAATGCTATTTTGAAGCAGTACTGTTTCAGCAATACTCAACAAGACAACAAGACAATTGGGTGGAGGTGCTGCTGGTGGCAGAATTCTCTTATAACAATGCTCAACATGCATCCACCCATGTGTCCCCTTTCTTTGCAAACTATGGGTTTCATCCACAACTTTTCCCTTTAGCCCCGTCTGATTCCCCAGTTCCGGCAGTGGATACGTTTTTGCAGGAGTTAAAAGCCGTGCACCACATGGTCTGTGATCAACTAGAGAGAGCCAAGGAAGACTATAAATGGTTTGCAGACTGACATCGTCGCAATGTTCCACCTTTAGCGGTCGGCGATCGGTTTGGCTCTCTACTGAATGAGGGTGCATCGAGAAGGGCAGAGGCTGGCTGAGCAGTCAGAAGAGGATCCAGGCCTATCCCCTATCCATCCTAGGTCACTCAGGGAAGAGAGGATCAGGGAAAAGCAAGGTCTACTCAAGAGGAGATTACCACGATCCTCCTCGTGGCTTGCAGGTGGGAGCTATGTATATAAGTTTGCAACTGCGCAGTTAGAATTGCTGAAGTCAATTAGCGTTCACCTTGAAAGAGGCTTTGCTGGCGTTCTTCCCATGGACTTTTCTCGGTTATTTTCCTGGAGTTTATAATTAGTTATCTCGGCTTGCTTCAGAACTCTCATCAATGAGGTATATTTTGGTTTTCTTTTTGCCTCATTATTTACTTTTGTGACTTTAAATTGTGCCTAATAAAACAGTGAAGTTAAGTTGAAGGCTTTAGCGGACTTTAATATATGTTTTGGGTTTTGGGTTATTTTGAGAGACTATGGGTCATCACAGGGAGGCAAATTCTGCATCAACTGGGAGATCTAACAGGTTCTGACCAATCTAGCTGACAACTTTGTCATCAAAAAGATAGAGGAGGAAACTGGAGGGACAGCTATACTGGACTTAATTCTTACTAACAAAAAATGGTTGAAGTTGCAGAAACTTTGGGGGTGGGGGAGTGACCATATCATTTTAGAATTCAACATGATGCAGACACAAGCAATGGAACATAAATTATTTTTAAAATAGAAGATTTCAACAAAGTTTGAAAGAACTTGAGAAGGATTCCATGAATGAAAATCATAAAGAGAAAAGCGACTCAAGAAGCCTGGGGATTTAAAAGAGACTGGAAGTTGCTTGTGAATTTTCTATGTGTTAAATACAATAACAGATAAATAACAAAGGGATTTGAAGATTAGTGTAACATTTGGGCTAGCCTATTGACTTGTGGTTTTTTTCTTTCACTTTTTATATTTATTAGATGTTGGGTTGCTTTGATTATTAGAGACCTCATCTGAAATATTAGTACATCTCTTTTTCTTGTTAAATAAAGATGAGATAGTTTATAACTATTTGCAGGCCTATTACGCAATGGGATGAGAATTTATCATGTTTTTAAATTTTTCTTTTAAGCATCAAGCCAGAGTGGATTTTTTCTATGCTTAATGTTGAACTTATTGTATGTCTGGGTCATTTTTTCCTTTCTGTATACTTTTTTCTTTCTTTTTTGTTGTTGTTACTCTTGGATGTATGTTTCTCTGTTTTTTTTTTCTGTTTGGTATTTTATTCCATTGATAAAATATAATAAATATATATTAGAAAAATAAGAAATCCAATATGAAACCGCATTAATATAATAGTTGTTTGTTCCTATCAAAAACTGAACCATAAATGACAGACTATAAATTCAAATTAAAATAGGAAAGAAAATGGTAAGAGAACATCTGTCCATTTTAGAGGAGTTCAAATCACCAGGATCAGATGGTTTACATCCCAAAATTCTGAAGGAACTGGCAGACATGATCTCAGAACCACTGAATCATATATTTCAAATATCCTGGGACACCGGGGAACTACCAGATGACTTGAAAACAGGTGATGTGGTCCTCATATTCAAAAAAGGGGGGAAATGGATCAGGAAATTACAGACCAATCAGTTTGACACCAATATCTGGGAAGATCCTGGAAAAGATAATCAAGCAAAGATCTGCAAACACTTAGAAACAAGCAAAGCTATTACTAAAAGCCAATATGAATTTGTCAAAAACAGATCATGCCAAACAAACTTGGACTTCAGTAAGGCATTTAACTATCACCCACTTCTTGATAAAATAGAAAAATGTGGGATAGACAGCATCACCACCAAATGGATTTGTAACTCGCTGACCAAATGCCCTCAACATATAGTCCTCAATGGAACAACAACATGGGAGGAAGCATGCAGGTTCTAAGACAGGAAGGTTCTATGTTAGGCTCAGTACTTTTCAACATCTTCATAAACTATGAATGGAATAGAAGGGGAACTCATTAAATTTGAAGAAGGGGAACAGCCAGCACTTTATTAGCAATTTTATTTTATTCAAAAGATTAAAATTTCAAAAACAGATCATGTCAAACATTCTTTAACAATGTGATTAAATTAGATGACCAGTGAAATGCTGTGGATGTAGCCTACTGATATTTCAGTAAGGCATTTGACAAAGTAAACCACAACCTACTTCTTGGTAAGCTAGAAACATGTGAGATAGACAGTATCACCACCAGATGGATTTGTAACTGGCTGATAAACCATACTCAATGAATAGTCCTTAATGGAACTACATCTACATGTAGGGAGATAAGCAGTAGGGTAGTGCAAGGTTCTCTCTTAGGCCCAGTACTCTTCAATATCTTCATGAATGATGGGGAACTCATCAAATTTACAAACAACACCAAGCTGATAGGAATAGCCAACACTCCAGAAGATAGGCTCATGATCCAAATGGATCTTGATAGACTTGAACACTAGGTCCTATTTAACAAAATGAAATTCAATGTAAAGAAAAGCAAGATTTTACATAGGCAAGGAAAACCAAATGTGCAGATACAGACTAGGTGAAAAGTGGCTCAAAAGCAGTAACTATAAGGAGTATCTTGGAGTCCTAGTGGACAACCATTTAAATATGAGCCAGCAGTGTGCTGCAGCTGCCAAAAAAGCCAATGCAATCCTGAGGTGAATTTACAAAGGGATAGAATCAGAATCATGTGAAGTGTTATTACTTTTTTATGAGATCTTTGTAAAACCTCACTTGGCATCTAGTTTTGGTCACCCCAGTATAAAAAAGATGTTGAGTGCGGAGAAGAGCAACAGAGTGCAGAGAAGAGCAACAAAGATGATTAAGGGACTGGGAGCTAAAACATATGAAGAATGGTTGAAGGAATTGGATATCGCTAGCCTAGAGAAAAGAAGGACTAAGGACAACCTAATAACAGTGTTTGAATATTTGAGGGGCAGCCACAAAGAGGGCATTTTTCAAAGCACTAGGAGGCAGAACCAAAAGTGATGGATGGAAACTAATCAAGGAGAAAAGCAACCCAGAACTAAGGAGAAATTTCCTGACAGTGAGTACAATAACCTGGTTATTCTACTCACTGTCGGGGAATTTCTCCTTAATTCTAGGTTGCTTCTCTCCTTGATTAGTTTCCATCCATCACTTTTTGTCCTGATGCTTTGAAAAATAGGTTCTTTGTAGTTGCCCCTCAAATATTCAAACACTGTTATTATGTTGTGGGTATTCCATCACTGGAGGCTTTTAAAAAGAAACTGGACAACCATTTGTCTGAAATCATATAGGGTTTCCCACTTGGGTGTGTGTGTGTGTGTGGACTAGAAGACCTCCAAGGTACCTTCCAACACTGTTATTCTGTTTGCTCTTGTTAATCTCATAACCAATTCTACACTCTCTGTAATATAGTTTATCATTTTTAACTCCAATTAGCAACTATGAGGTAACCTTAAATTTAAATGAAGATACATCTTCCCTTTTTGCTATCAATATAAGGGTAGAAGTCCTTCTCATCTATCTGAATTTGTAAGTTTTTATGTTTTTATTTTGCATTTTTAAAAACCTGCCACAGGTCCCCAGGTGAAAAAATTAAAGCTGTGTTGGGAACAGGTTATGGGATTGGGGAAACTTAATGAAACAGCATGTTCATTTTTCAAGGAAGAAAGGACATTAGGAGGAAAGAAAGTTGTTTCTGCTTCTAAAAATAATTTGTAACTTGCCTAGAGTTGCTCCAACAGTGAGATGGGTGACCTATAAATATAATAATCAAACCAACAAACCAACCATCAAACCAAAGATTTTGTTCCAAGAGGCACAAATTATTTTAGTCCCCATTCTCTCCAACATGGCTATTTTTTTCCAGCCCATAAGAATACAGAATAGAGAATAATTAGGCTTAGGTCTAAACTCTGAAACTGGACAAATAGAACCCAGTTCTAAATATATATAATAAAGGTATGAAATTGGTAAGAATTAACATTCATGGGCAAATCATGAGCTATTGATTGCTGAGACTATCATTAACAGAAGACAACATTCATGACTGAATACATTTATTTGTGATTACGTTAATTGGTATTCACCATGTTTTGAATATAAATATTACACTGGGATAGAAATAAGAAAATGATTGACTTACACCAGTTTCTGCTAGTTCTTTAAAAATATTTTATTTGAATTGAATGTTATTGTCCTGAATGACTTCAGATGTATTCTTGAACTAATATGTAACTAATAATTTGATATATTCCAATAATCTGCATCAACTATCTCTTGTGTGAGTCAGTTGCTCCAAATACAAATATTAAAGAAATACATAAATCAAGTATATTTGCTTTACTAATATATTTACCCAAGACCCATGGTAAGATCATCCATTCAACGATGGTTGGTGGGGGCCCTTGCATATTCAGATCTGACCTGTCAATATGCTGAGAGGCAAGTAGAAGAAGAAACAAGAAAGTCAAGTAGGAGGCAGTGTGGCAGATGAATTTGATGAATGGCTTCCTGATGAACAATCCCAGTCGGCTCTTGGGAGCTATCAAGTAGCAGACAGAAAATACGGGAAAAAGGAATCCAACTATGATGCAAGTCAGCATCTTCACAGCCCAGTGCCGTCTCCTCCAGCCTGGGAACTCATCATACCAACGAGAGGCAAGTAGCTGTTGACAGTTTGGCTGGGCAACAAACTAACGCAGAACAAAAGAAATAATCAAAACTCTTCTATCTAGTAAATTTTTATATGCAAAATATAACATGCAAAAAGAAATTGAATAGATTTAACTGCATTTTTACTAGATGAAATTCCTTGTATTGAAGTATGCAATTATTAGGTATTAGCATTAAAGACAGAAAAACTTTGTTCTCTGGTATATCTATTATATTTATCCTCATCTAGGAGATGAGGTTTTCTGCTTATAGAAAGTGAAGGGTAAAGGTATCTATGTGGGGCTAACTCAAGGCAGCAAACATATCCAATATACTTTCCTCCTGTTTTCCTCACAACAACTTTTGCAATATTTCAGTGCCCACTAGATCCTAATAACATAAAATGTTAATTAAAAAGTGAAAGATAATGAAATAATGAAGAATAGAGGATCTGAACTATACTTGGTCTTATTTAGGAAATATGTTATCTCACTCATTATTGCAATAAAATCCACTAACTTTTTATCTGCATACTTACCTCTTTTTGACGGTATTTAATTGCCAGTTTTAATCTTGCCAAATCATTTTCACTCTGCTCTTCTAGTAGACTGTTATCATCTCTGTAATTAAGAATAATTTCCAATTCTCTTGAACTTCGAGTCTGATCCAACAGATCTTTTGCAAACTGCTTGCACTGTTGTGACAATTCTTCATATTCAGATTTAAACTCATTTTCCACTTTGCTCAATTCTTGAAGTTCCCAACTTAACTGGAATGCTGTAAGAAATGGGTCCTCACTTGATAGAGCAATTAAAGATGGGCTTGCAAGAGCCTTGTAGATATTTAGTCTGGATCGGGAATGGCGAAGGCTATCCACATCTGAACTGGAGACACATTCCATACAGTTACAGCGAACTTCATGTGGTCTGGGAACACACACACCTTTCTGGACTAAAAGTTTTATAATCTCATAATTGTTTGTATGGGCAGCCAAGATAATGGGTGTTATGTCTGGTGTAAATTCAGAGAACTGTGTATCCAGTAATGTGGGTGGTACCTGTGGATGTGGGAAAGGAATATTATTCATTCATTCATCATATTTATAAAATAACATAATTACAGAATAAAACATAGTATGCAATAAACTATTGTAAGGGTCTGCCTCTCCTCTCCATTCAAGAAAGTAAAGACTCCTGAAACTTCAGCATTTCAAAAGGAACCTTTTATTGAAAGAGAATGATTGCAAGGACAAAGGAAAGCAGAATCTAAAATCCTCCTCAGGCAATATAATCAGGATAAAGTAGTTAGAAACTCCTCCCCTTAGTCCGAGGTTGAATGAGACAATCCACAGGTGCAAAGATGTTAGAACGGCCGGCCTGAGAAAGAGAAAATAAGTGATTCCCAGGCTGGTCTTGCAGGAAGCTTCAGGACTGAGACAAAACACTTGGCCCTCCACCCTTATTACATTCCTCCAAAGGAAAATCAAGCTTAGGGCACATAGGTGCCAGGATAAAGGCTATAAACTAGGGGGATACAGGATGTATGGAAAATAGGAAGAGAGCAATATGCTAATAGATGTATCCCGGCCTCCTCCCCACAGGAATGGCAGTATCACAATAGGGATCTGACAACTATTTTGTTTTGGCTACAAAACCCCAGTTATCTCTACACACATACCTCTCAGCTTCAGGATGTGTCAAGCCTGAAGCCATGTGAAGAAAAATACCTGTTAAAAAAACTACAGAAAATGGCCACACCCAGGTCAGCTTTAGGGTTGACAGGAGTATCTTGAAATCAAGGAAATAGTTGGTTCATGTATGCACCATGGGGTCACACAATACTTAGTACCCTGCAAACTCTTATTGCTCTCTGAAAATTAATGGGTAACCAAAAAACATGTCAGGGCACCTAGACTAACTAAACCTTTACTCTGTTTCTCTCCTTGTGTTTCCTTCCAGGTGAAATTCTCCTTCTCTTGGGGGGGGGGGGGCAGCATGTCCCATAGATCTCTATCTGGATGCTGCCATTCTGGTGGGCCTGGATGCATTTCTCATTTTATAACCCTTTTCATGTTGCATGACTATCCTGTACTTTGATTTACCTTCCTGGGAATGTAAGGGGGGAGGAAATGCCTAGAGAACCATCTGCTTCATCTCAGTACCCGAGCCTCCAGCAAGAAAATTCCAGCAGTTTTTGCAAGAGAGGTGCCACTGCCTGGGGTCCTAGGCCCCAAGATGCTCCCCAAAATACTGGGGACATAAAGACTCAGGGAAGATGGAGCAAGAACCAGAGACCATCGAAGGAGCCACCAGACCTGTGTCAGGGGAAGTTTGCAAAACCTGCTGTTACCCTTTAGTTGCAGAAGTGGCTGCAGCCGAGGCCTCGCAAGCTGAAATCCAGAGAAGTACGAGACCCAAGGAACCAAGCCCTTGGCAGACCCCACCAACAGGACCAATCACAAGGTTCGAACCGGAAGCAGTGATTGGGGTTCCCCCACCTCCGGGAGCACTGCGGCAACCAGGATCCAAAGCTGCCTTTGAGTGGAGAACACCGCAATCCCTAGAGGCATGTGAGTTCCAAGACTGGACGCTTCAACCAGTGTCATGGAGCCAATCACTAGCCAGACTACCCGAAAAGTTTGAACAGCTGAGTGTTGGTCCCACGGTCCAGACCTCCCCACACGTGGTTCAGCCAGGATGGGTGCTGCCACAGCCCATTTTCCATTATTCAGGATCTGGAGGTGTGGCAGTCCAGAGCAGAGCATCTGCTTCTTTTCATTCAGCTCAGGCCCCAACAGCAAAGTCCTTCCACTGTGGCATCAGCCCAGTCACCCACCATGGTGGGATAATCTCCAGGGCCATTGGACCAATCAAGCCCTGGGATCAGAGGCAGGCTGGGAGGTGCACTCAGGCCTGTTCAGCATGCCCCACCAGCACCTCCACCACCTCCAGGGATCCCATCTGCAGACCAGGTTCTGCCTGGGTGGGCTTTTTAACCTGGACATGGGTGGATCCAGTACCACTGGATGCCAGCTCCAGTTCCACCGCCAATTCCTCCAGCTGCAACTACACCCCCTCCAGTGCTGCCCTGCCGCAATTCCCAGTCATCTTTGTTGGCACCCCGGGTAAACTGTCCTACTTCTTTAACTGAATTTGGGCTCACATTGATTGTTATCATTACTGGCACAATACCAATCAGACCAGGACATGGTTTCAGCCATTGCACATAATATGAGAGAAGGGGAAGTGGCCAATTGGATCATCCAACTCCATGATGAAGGAGCCCCTGAATTAGAAGATGTGGATGAATTTGTGTGATCCTTGAGAGCATGATTTGACGACCCAGCAAACTGGGAGCAGGCTGAAACAGAAATCAAAGGGCTGAAACAGCACAGCTGACCACCTAAAGAGTTAGTGTGGGAATTTAGAAGAGAAGCCAGAAGATTGCAAGGCTGTCCTGAAAGGCTCTTCATCCATTACTTCTGATCCCTACCGCCTGCAAATCCCCCCTCCTCACCTCTTCTCCTTCCTCCCAGCCCTGCCAGTCTAGTCTGCAAATCCCCACCACCACCTTCCACTCCATGCTGCAAAGCTCGACATCCCCCCAAACGCTGCAGAGTTCTACCCCATGGCATATTGCAAAGCTCAACCTCTCTCTCTCTCCCTCACCCTCCCCCCTCCCCCCACCACTGCCTCCGCCCATGTGCTCTGAGAGGGAGGGTGGATGGATGTTCCAGGGCTGCTGCTTTCTTCGTTGTCCTGCTGCTCGCTGCTCTGGAGTTCTTCCCAGACCAGGTGTGTGTGTGTGTGTGTGTGTGTGTGTGTGTGTGTGTGTGTGTGTG